ATATCATGGGGCAACTAAGCCCATGCACGCCAACTAGAGAACCTATACACCTCAATGACTGAGCTCATGTGCTGCAACAAAGACCCGAGCACAGCCAAGAAAAGAAAAAGGATCATACACCATGATCAAGTGGGATTTGTTTGGGAGATGCAAGGATGGTTTAGGATCTGCAAATCAAGCAATGTGATACGCCAAACTGACAAAATGAAAGATGAATATCATGTAATCATCTGAAGAGACACAGAAAAGTAGTTGACAAAATCCAACATCCACTTATGATTAAAAACTCTCAAAAAAGTGGGTACAGAGGGAATGTACCTCAACATAATAAAGGCCACATGACAAATCCACAGCTAACATCATACTCAATGGAGAAAATCTGAAACTTTCCTCTAAGATTAAGACAAACATGCCCATGCATACCACTTTTCTTAACATAGTATTGGAAGTCCTAGCAGAGCAATTAGGCAAGAAAATGAAATAAACAGCATCCAAATTGGAAAGGAGGAAGTAAAACTGTCACTATTTGCAGATGACATGATATTATATATAGAAACTTCTAGAGACTACACACACACAAAAAAAATATTAGAACTATAGGGCAATTCAGTACATTTGTAGGATATAAAAATGAATATATAAAAATGTTGCCTTTCTATACACTAAAAACTATCAGAGAAATTAAAATAACAAACTCATATACAGTTGCATAAAAAGAATACAATATCTCAGAATAAATTTAACCAAAGCAGTGAAAGACAACTCTCAACATGGGAGAAAATAATAGCAAATGCAACAATTGACAAAGGATTAATCTCAAAAATACACAAGCAGCCCATGCAGCTCAATATCAGAAAAACAAACAACCCAATAAAAAAAGTGGGTAGAAAACCTAAACAGACATTTTTTCACAGAAGACATACAGATGGCTAATAAACACATGAAGAGATCCTCAACAGCACTCATTAGTGAAATGCAAATCAAAATTACAATGAGTATCACCTCTTACCAGTCAGAATGGCCATCAAAGTCAAAAACTCTACAAACAATAAATCCTGGAGAGGATGTGGAGAAAAGGAACCCTCTTGCACTGTTGGTGGGAAGATAAGTTGATGCAGCACTATGGAGAACAGAATGGAGATTCCTTAAGAAACTAGGAATAAAACTACCCTATGACCCAACAATCCCTGGGCATACATCCTGAGAAAACCATAATTTGAAAACATACACACACACCCCAAGTTTCACTGCAGCTCTATTATAATAGCCAGGATATGGAAGTAACCTAGATGTCCATCGACAGATGACTGGATAAAGTTGTGGTACATACAAACAATGGAATATTACTCAGCCACAAAAAGGAACAAAATTGGGTCATTTGTAGTGATGTGGATGGACCTAGACACTGTCAGACAGAATGAAGTCAGAAGAAGTATTATATAGTAGCATATATATGAAATCTAGAAAAATGGTCCTGATGTAACTATTTGCAGGGCAGAAATAGACACACAGATATAGAAAACAGAAGGTGTAAAGAATTGGGAGAGCAGCCCTGACATGCATACACGCCCATGTGTAAAATAGCTAGCTAGTGGGAAGCTGCTGTGGAACACAGGGAGCTCCCAGCTTGGCACTCTGTGATGACCCGGAGGGGTAGGATGGGAGTGGGCTGGGAGGGCGGTTCAGAGGAGGGACTACACACATACTTGTAGCTGATTCATGTTGTAGTACAGCAAAAACTAATATGATATTGTAAAGCAATTATCCTCCAATTAAAAAAAATTTTTTTAAACTATAATGAGGCATCACCTCATCAGTCAGAATGGCTATCATCAGAAAATCTACAAACAATAAATACTGGATAGGGTTTGGAGAAGAGAAAATCCTCTTACACTATTGGTGGGAATGTAAATTAGTACAACCATTATGGAGAATAATAAGAAGTTTCCTTAAAGAACTAAATATAGAACTGCCAAATGATCCGGCAATCCCATTCTTGGACATATATCCTGAGAAAACCATAATTTGAAAAGATACATGCCTCCAGTGTTCATTGCAGCACTGTTTACAACAGCCAAGACATGGAAAAAACCTAAATGTCCAAAGACAAGAATAAAAATGTGGCACATATATACAAGAGAACATCACTAAGCCATAAAAAAAAGCAGAATAATGCCATCTGCAACGATATGGATAGATTTAGAGATCATCACACTAAGTGAAGTAAGTCAGAGAAAGACAAATATATGATATCAGTTAAATGTGGAATCTAGTAAAAAAGTAATACAAACTTATTTACAAAACAGACTCACAGATCTTGAAACTTACAGTTGCCAAACGGGAAACGTGGGATGAAATGATAAATTAGGAGCTTGGGGCAAACATACACACACTACTATACAAAAAATAGATAACTAATAAGGACCTCCCACATAGCACAGGGAACTCTACTCAGTATTCTGTAATAACCTATATGGGAAAAAAATCTGAAAAAGAATACGTGTGTGTGTGTGTGTGTGTGTGTGTAAGATGATAGAGGTATTAACTAACCCCACTATGGTAATCCTTGTACAATATAGATAGGTATCAAATCATCATGAAGTATACCTTAAATTTACATAATGTTATATCCCAATTATATCTCAATGAAGCTGAGGGAAAAAAATTAGGCAAAGAAGGACTTGAATAGACACTTCTCCAAAGATGACATATAAATGACCAAAAAGTTCACAAAAAGGTGCTTAATATCATTAACCATTAGAGAACACAAGTCAAAACTACAATGAGATACTATTTCATACTCTTTAGGATGACTATTGCCAAAAAACAAAATGGAAAATAACAAGCATTGGTTAGGATATGGAGAAATCGGAACACTTGTGCATTGATGGGGGCAATGTAACTGGTGCAGCCACAGTAGAAAACAGTATGATGATTTCTCAAAAAGTTAAATGTAGAATTACCATTTGATCTAGCAAAACTCATTTTAGCTATGTACTCAAAAGAAATGAAAGCAGGGACTCGAACAGTGATTTGTATACTAATTTCACAGCAGCATCATATACACAATAGTAAGTACTGACACAAGCTTCAACATGGATGAACCTTGAAAACATGCTCCATGAAACAAGCCAGACCCCAAAGGACAAATATTGTTATCAGTCCATTTCTATGAGGTACCTTCTATAGACAAATTCATAGGGACAGAAAGGATAATAGTGGTTGCCAGAAGTTGAAGGAAAAGAATGGTTAATTATTGTTTAACATACATAGTTTCCACTGGGGATGATGAAAAAGTTCTGGAGATGGATAATGACAACAGCCGAACAACATCGTGAATGTCTTTAATGTACTTAAGGACACTGCATTATCCATTTAAAAACAGTTAAAATGGTAAAGATGAATAAATAACATTTACCATAATAAGTTTTAAGGTATCAGGAAATAGGGATACTGCAGTGACAGCTGGATCAGCAGAGCCTTCTCAAAATTAAAAATTATCAAAAAGTATCTGAGACCTTGCATTTGCCAAGAGCAACTGGCAATGCTTTCAATTGTATGAACTGAAGTTATTAAAAGTATAAATTTTAAGACTTAATAAATGAATTTGCAGAAGTGAGAAAAATGATCAAGGTGTCACACATTAATAAAGTATTACATATTATATTATATAAAACTACACCAAAAATATTTTTGCACTTTATAAGTTTATATTGTTACTCAGTTATCACTATTACCCAATATTTATAACACAATAAAACATTTTTTAAAGGAAAAAGTTTTCTATTTTAGGTCCTTTAATGGCAATTTCCCTTGTTTTTTGAAAAGGAGTTCCACTTTTCATTTTAACTGGTTATGTAGCTGGTTCTGTCTCTCAGCCTTGATAGCCTATTTATTTTTGAGTCATTTGTATCTCAGTTTTCTCACCTCTCAAATGGGTATGGTGTTTACCTTTCTTTGTAGAACTGATGGGAAATTAAAATACACACATTAAATTAAAATAAAAATACACCACACAATGGTTTGAAAAAGTATAGGTACTTTAAAATACTGGTGACATTGCTGCTGTTCATATGAAATATTTTATGAGTACCATTACTGGAGTCTTTAGACAAATACACTTCTTATCTACAATGAAGAAATTTAATTCACTATTCTCTGTGATTTCCAGACTTGACAGAGAAGCAAAATGACTCGTTTGATCCATAGTTATTACTTTTTAGCCTAGTGATTTCATGGATAAAATTTATTTCTTCACATGACTAAAAGCAAAGTATAAACTGAAGATGACACCAAAACACTAGACTTCAGTCAACATTTTTAAAGCCTAAAATTTCAAATCGTGTTTCTGATAAACTCTCTTCTAAGCAACTCAATGGAAGAATAACACTAAGAGTGCTGAGTTCCCCAAGTTCTATCTCAATCTGTATACACCAGATGCAGCTGAGTGTAAATAAAAATACTGCTGTAAATATAGAGGCAAAAATGCCCCAGCAGTAGGTTGGCTATGATGGGGAGCTCTGGCACATTAGAGGACAGAGTCTGAGAGCCAAGCAGGCACAGACACAGAAGGCGGGGTGCTAAATCTGAATGCCGCATTCACAGACACTTAGAGCAAACTCTGACAGTACCCAGACCACTGGTACAGGTGGCACAGTTGTCTCACCATCACTGGGGGTTTCCTGAGTCTTTTATACAGCTTCCTGTAGCTCACAAAACACCATCTGTAGGTGACAGGCTTAGGGGTGTGGCCAGGTTCTTTGTTTCAAAAGGCTGGTCCTGGAGGACCAAACTTGTAACTAATCTGTAGGTTAACCAGCTTGTTTGGAGTAGAGTTCCAATTGCTCCACAACTTATGCCTCCAGAAGCTGACTAACTTCCCTGCTCCGGGGCCGGGGAATCCACTGTGAAGTGTTCGCTCTCTCACTAGCCGTCCCCCAGATAGGCCCTCCTACTGCCTAACCTTTGCCCTTTCTAATTGCCCTGATCTCATCCTGACCTCCATAGCTGTGTTTAAAGTCCACCTCTGGGGAACACACAGATTGAGCGTTCCAGGTAATCCCCTTTCCAGTCCTGCCTGGCATCTGGCCGGTGGGCTGTGTACCTGGACTTCCCGGGACACTGGCTGGGGGAGTTTGAGGGGGGACCTCAGCACCCACCTGGCTGCAGGATGACGCGGGCCATCAGCTTCTTGATCTTGTGGCTCAGCCTGGCTGGCGGCCTGGCGCAGAGTGACACCAGCCCTGACGCAGAGGAGTCCTATTCAGACTGGGGCCTTCGGCACATCCGGGGCAGCTTCGAATCTGTCAACAGCTACTTCGATTCCTTTCTGGAGCTGCTGGGAGGGAAAAATGGCGTCTGTCAGTACAGGTGCCGATACGGTGAGTGCAAGGTTTCTCTTCCTGTGAAACTATCGCTGGTGGGCCTGTGAACAGCCTGAGCAGGGCCACAATCTGTCATGCACTTTTTCCCTGTTATCCACTTCTTAGAGGGTAGTTGCCAGATTCAGAAAATTGAAATGCAGAATTCCCAGTGAACTCTGAATTTCAAATAAACAACCAATATTCTTTAAAATATTTGAGATGTTTGGAACATGCTTATAATGACAAATTACTGATTGTTTATCTGAAATATATATTTCACTGCACTTCCTGTGTTTTATCTGGCAAACCTACTCCAAGGAGTTTTGCAATACTTGTTCCCTGGGGCCATTTTAATGGGTTTGTTTTGAGGCAGGTAGATACTTAGAAAAAGGTGGCAAGGAGGAAAACTAATAGGGGATGTCTTTGTGAGGTGCTCCTGGGGCTGAAAACTGAAGCTGATCATTCAGGGAAAATTCTGAGCTTCCTCAGTCACTTTGTTCCTAGCTTGGAAATGGATTCTCCTCTCACCCTCGTACAGTTCACACCTTCCTCCCAACTGTGTCAGTCTCTGATCACTTTGCCTAACCCATCCCAACCCCACCCCACCCCCACCCCGCACCAAGAGAGCTGTCCCTGCCTCAGTCAGCAATGGGAGGAGGCCTTACGTGAGCAAGATGGGCATCTGCCAGCCGCCTCTACCCACCAGGGATCAGTCCGTGAGTGACGCACTGTCCCCTCAGGCCTGGTCTTGGATGTGGAACTGAATGGGTAGGAGCACTACCTCGCCCAAGTTGCAAAGAGGGTACATGGGAAGCTGTGTGCAGGCCTAGCTGCAAAACAGCAGACCCTGGGGCCCGTTCTTGCTTTCCCCCACACTGGAATTCAGTGTAATGGGAGCAGAAAGCGGGGCCCTGGACCTTACAGCTGGGAGGCAAGGGGTAACTTCCAAAGAAAATGTTTTTGAAAGCATACACAGTCTCCTAACAGCATCCATTTCATTGTTTAGTTTATCGAATGTTTCATCATGGGATTAAGAGATGAAAATGGTGATTGAGCCTAGAAGGAAAACACTTGAGAAATACTCTCCAGACACAACAGATAAAACTCAGCTTGGAGAGAGACTCAAAAAAGCCACACACTTGCTGGGCTCAGCCAATGTCTTGCACTCCTTTCTTACCCCTGAGCAGGGGGAACTCTTCTTACAAACTGAAAGTGACTAAGAGACTGTGGTTAACATTTCAGAACCAAAATTTTTACAGAATAGAAGCTTTAACCTCAGAGGGAGATAGTGAAAAGAGGAAGCTGCAGCATCTCTGTGACGATTCCACAGAGTAAACCTGTGCTAGGGCCCACCTGGACTGCTAGCCACGTCTTTATACAAGGTGTGTTGGGCAAATGCAGAGATGCCTTGTCACAGAGACCATGCTCACCGAGTTTGCATGGATGAGGCAGGAAAGGGTTAACTCCAGGTATTTAATAAACACAGGTGCTCCTTTCCTCCCTAGCGGCAACACGAGACTTATTAAGTCTGTGGTTTAGCAAATAGATAACAGGATTTTTTTTTCTTTTTTTCTCTTTCTTTAGGGAAACAAGATCCAAACCCTCTTCTCTAGTAAAATGGCATTAAAAGATTTCAGCAAAGTTTGGTGCAAGTTTCCACCTGGGTCAGTCGATGCAGCAATCACTGGTGGGGGATGGGAATAGTCAACAGAGAGATTACAGGGTCGCAAATAACTCCAGTCACTCTGCAAAATGGAACCTGTCCAAAGAGGGACCTGAAAACCTTATAGGAAAGAGGGGGTTAAACCTTGTTACCTTTGGAATGCAGAGAGCCAAGAACCTGAAGGCTGCACCCAGACAGTACAGACTATCTTCTGAAGTTGATTGAGAATCAAGCAGGCTTTTGAACAGATAACATCCAATAACTAACTGTTCTTTTACAGTTTACCTTGTGACACATTTCTTGTGCAAAACACTTTCTGCAAAGCACTGACTCCCGAACTTGCCTGTGCTGCAAATCCCTTTAAGGGCTTGTTTAAAGACTGCTTCACCCCCACCCCTCGTTTACCGAGTGGGTAGGTCTGGGGCGGGGCCAGAAAATCTGCATTTCTAAGAGTTCCCAGGTGATCCTGCTGCTTCTAGGGTGCTGGGATCACACTTGGGCGGGGGGAACTGCTTTAAAAACTGCAGTTTTTCCTTTTTTTCCAGGAGGAACAATTTAGCAACAGTTAGTCTACAAGAAAAATTGCCGTTTGGTAGGTGCTTATCACCACTTAAAACAGTGGTTCCTACCTCACTCAGCACTTAGAATCACCTGGGCGGCTCTAAAAAACACTTGCTGCCCGAATCAATTAAAAGGGAATCTCCTTAGGTTGGACCCAGATATCATTATTTTTAATGTTTCCCAGGTGATTACAAATTGCGGCTAAAGTAGACAACACTATTTAAGGGATCATTCTGGAAGAACTTCAGTCCATAGTTGTTCAGACAGGCAATTTGTGCTTGTATCCTGCTAGCCTGTCAACACTATTTGCCACACTTCTTCTACCTACAGTTTGTTTTCATGTTAACACACAAAATCTGCATTTACCAAAGGATTGGGCTGTAAATATAGAGATTCAACATGAATCAAGAGCATACATGGTACACACACCCGGTCTCAGGAGCCTGCACTAATGTGAACACGATTGCCTCTCCAACCTCAGGGATTCTGATTCAATAGGGCTGTGCTCGGGACAGCACAAATGGTCCTTGAACCAGACTTTGATGGAAAAAATCAAGGGTTTGATCTGGGGGTGGGGGGTGCAGGACATCTCATTGCTAGTGACCTTGGACAAGTTCCCTAACTTTCTCAACCTTTGTTTCCTCATGTTTATATCTAATGTTAATAATATCTATCTTGCAAGATTGTTATAGGAATTAAAGACACTGTATATAAAGAATTAGTGCTGTTAGAAAGTGAAAGTCACTCAGTTGCGTCCAACTCTTTGTGACCCCATGGACTGGAACAGCCCACCAGGCTCCTCTGTCCATGGGATTCTCCAGGCCAGAATACTGGAGTGGGTAGCCATTCCCTTCACCAGGGGATCTTCCCGACCCAGGGATTGTATCCTGGTCTCCTGCATTGCAGGCAGATTCTTTACATCTGACCCAAGCTACCAAGTAGAGCATGGCAGGTACCAAATTTTATAAATGTTTGAGAAAGATGGTCTGGAGAACAAGTTAACTATGCAATCCGATTCTTCCGATTCTTTTTCAATCTAAAATTAAAAAACACAGAAATCCCAGTGGCTGGAAAACACCCTCTCAGCTTCTGGAAGAAATCATCAAATGATGATTTAGATATCCTGTGCCTTTATGAAGGTCTCTGGGGCAGAGTTTCTGTGTCTTGTATGTCATGATTTAAGTTATCATGCACACTGTCACACTTGGATAAAAGGATAATTTTCTTCTTGGGTTAAGTTCTAGGAAAGCGGGTATCCTTAAACATCAGCGTTCTTATTTTCTAGAGAACTTTTTACTTGTTTGAAATTTTAGAGCAGAATTTTATGAACCTGTGAGTTTGTGTATTTTTCCAGGCAAAGAATTCACAGCCTTCATCAGATTCTTAGAGGATGTATAGCCTGAAAAAAGGAAAGAGCTACTGACTTAGAGGGCAAAGGTTGTTCTCAGGAAAGGTGATGAACTGTCGAGGTTTGCCAGGATGGGGGGCGGTGGTTCCTGGAACGAAGGACTTTAAATACTGAAACTGGGATTGTCCAGACAAATCTCTGGGACTAGTTGCTCACTTGACCTCATACAGTAACTGAACCTGTTTTAGCGACTGGAATAGAGTTTATTGCTTCAGTTAAATGATCACAGTTCTGTTTTGCCCCCTTCTGTGTTCCTCATGCTGTGTTTGAGGGTTTCTGGCAGGAAACAAAATGTGCATTTCAAATTCAGCACTCTGACCACTAGGTCAACCCCTAGTGGAACACAGAGCTGCCTCTGCCGAACCAGCTGCGCGGGGAGAAAGTATACATCCTCCCGTGTGGCTTAACCCTTAACCTGGGTGATAAACCCCAGACATTTTCACTGTGACAGAGAGAAAAACCGGATGGGCCCAGAAGGTAGTAGACCTGTCTGCTGGTAGAAGTCTCATTTCATGCCTAACTCCCTTATTTGTCTCTTAAGTGTTTTGTGGTGTTTCACTTTAGTCAGATGTTTTAAATTTCCACAAGAGCAAGTCTATCGGTACTTCCTTTATATCTTCTGCATTTTTTGTTTTGCTTAAAGGACCATCCTCACATCAAGATTAAAACAGTTTTTGGCTTGTTTTTCCGTGAAAGCATCTGTGGCTAATATACATAATGAATGAGTGTTGCTGTGTTCTGAAAAGAATTTTTATGAGCACTAAATTTTCAATTTCAAGTTTCATATGTCACAAAATATTATCCTTGTTTTGACTTTTCCCCCAACCATTTAAAAATATAAAAATTATTTTTATCTGGCAGGTTATACAAGAACAGCCAATGGGCTTGACTTGGACCAGTATTTGCCAAGCTGATCCAGAAAATCAGGTGGTCAGTCTCCTATAGGTAGCCGAAACCCAAAATAAAACTAGTTTGTGACATCGTGCATAACTGATGCCTAGACTCAACGTCAAACTGAAAAGACTCAACACAACTCAAATCTGCTCCAACTGTAACGTGCGAATCTGGTACATAATTTCTGTCTGGACTCAAACCATCACCTTTTTTCTTAGAATTTTCATTTCAAGCTTCACTCCTCAACAGACTTTCTGCAACTATCATGAAACATTAAATACAATAAAAGTAACTGTCATCAATAGCAGGCCAGGTAGGACATGTCTATAATTGGTGACCCATTATCTTTCAAACTAGGAGTTTTATCTTCTGTGAGTTATTAAGTCCAAAAAAAGCAGAGGGTAACTCAGGAAACTGGACTGAGTCTGCGGCAAAAACCCTTGAACAGAAAAAGAGTTAAATTTCACCATCAAATTTAGGCATTTGTTTGTTTACTGAAAATTTCCCCCTGATTTCTATAAACCTAGTATTTGTATACTAGTAGTATTTCTATAAACCTAGAACATTTGTAAAATAACAACCCAAAGAGGAAATAAAATCACCATAGTCTCACTTCCAAGAGATAATACGTATTTAATTGTGTGATTATTTCCATATGTATAATTTGATTACTAGTATTATTTAATACACTTTACCCTTCCCAACACACACACACACAAGTTAGTAGAGTATTAATACTAAGTTATATTTCTCAAGGCCTTTGAAAAGTAATGGAGGAATCACTGGTGGGCTGGCAGACTCCGTCAACGAGTACAGGACACTTCCATTACAAATAATAAGAAAGGCTGAGTGGAAATTAAATATTAAAACAAATGCATATACACTCAAGCTAGAAAGAAAGAAAGGGAAACCTTCAAGTTCCCAAAATGAAGAGGAAACACAAAACTGAGTGGTAGCAGGGGCTTGTGCTGCTGTGGTCCTTGGAGGGGTCAGCCTGGAACATTATATATTGACTCCATGGGCTGAGGAATGGGCTTCAGTGACCATACAGAGAGAGGAGAAGAATTGTAAGGTTTGGGAAGTTGGAATTGAACAGTCTGCAGAAAGTTTAGAGCCTGGGAAACTGTCTAGTCTGTTTAAAAGGGATTAGAAGCAGCAAGGATGCTTTCTATCCACCTGGGGTGGGGCTTGGAGGAGGAATGAATACCCACTAAAAAATCACTACCTGAAGCATATTCTGTGTACAGATGAGGAATCTGAATCTCTTCAGTTGGCCTGGTATGAGTATCCCCAAGCTGAGAAATTAACAAATACCTGTGTGTCTCAATTATCCTCAGTCTCCTAGAGCCACAGCAAAAGGTATTAGGGACTACTCTGCAGTATGTGATTCAGGGCACAGGAATTCTTTTAGAAAAACAAGCCCTTCTGAAAACAACTACATACCATTTGAAAAGATAATCCACAATGAGTGAGAGTCAGCGGACATTAAAAAATGAAAGGGCATCCCAAAGATTGGAGATAAAAAATCATAACATTTGAAATTATTAAAGACATAAAAGGATAGAAAATGTAATTTAAAAATAAAACAATGAAAATGAATACATAGATTTGAAAGATTTAAATAGAACTCACAGAAATAAAAATTATAGTCATCAGAAGAAAACAATTCAGTGGATGGGTTACATATCAGGTAATCTAGCAGCTAGTCAACCTAGAGATAATTAGTAAAGTAGAAAATAAATTGATGAGGCTAATAAAAATTCAGTACAGAGGGAAAAATAGGGAAAATATAAAAGAGACATTAAGATACAAGAAGGACAGGATCAAAAAGATTCACGATTCAGTAGAAAGATACCCAGAAGGAGAAATTATAGAGAATGAAGAAACTTAAAAATTCAGAGAAGGGCTGTGAATTCTCCAGAGGTGAAAGACCCCAAGCCTTCAGATTGTTCCAGATATATAGCCCACTTATAGATACACTGTAGTGAAATTGTGAGGACTGAAGAAATTGGAACTTCTGTAGATTTCTGGTGGAAATACAAAATAGTACAGCGGCTGAAAAAAGCAGGCGATAGTTCCTCAAAAAGTTAAACAGAATTTCTATATGACCCCAAAATTCCACTCCTTAGGTATATATACACGAAAGAACTGAAAACAGATATTCAAACCAACACTTGAAGACAGTTGATCATAGCAGCACTATTCACAAATAGCCAAAAATAAAATATCATGGAAACAAATACCATGTCTATTAATGGTGAATGAATAAACTAACTGTAGTAGATCCAGAGAATGGAATGTTATTCATACATAAAGAGGAATAAGTACTGGTACATGCTACAATGTGGATGAACATGAAAGATGGAGATTTTTCTAAAAATGGGTATTGGGTTTCTTTCTGGGATAATAAAAATGTTCTAAAACTAGATTATCGTGATGGTCTCACAGCTAAAACCCACTGAATTGTGTTAAATGAGTGAATATATAATATGTGAATTTTATCTCAATAAAGCTGTTGTAGAAAAAGATGTAATGAAAAAAGATTCAAATCATAATGGCAACTGCAGTAGTTAAGCATTGCTGAGAAACAAGTGACCCACGAACTTAGCAGCTAAAAATAACAAATATTTAACAAACACTTATTGTATCACACAGGGTGAGGGATCTAGACGCTCTTCTGGGTGGTTCTGGCTCTGAGTTTCTAATAAGGGTTCTAGTCACACTGCCTGTTGATACTACAGTCTCTGAAGATCCTTCCAAACTCATGGGGCTGTTTGCAGGAGGCTTTAGTTCTTTGCCACATGGACCTTTCCATGACAGAAGTTTGTAGTCTTTTATAATGTAATTTTGGAAGCAACATACTTCCATTTCTGCCATATTCTGTTGGTCACACAGACCAACCACAGGACAGTACACACAGGTGTAAATACACCAGGACAGGGAAAACTGACAGCTGTCTTGAGCCACTGTCTTATAAACACGTTGTACCACAGCGACAAATACCCAAACAGACTACGGCGGAGACTTCTTTTTTTTTTTTTTCCATTTATTTTTATTAGTTGGAGGCTAATTACTTTACAACATTGCAGTGGTTTTTGTCATACATTGAAATGAATTAGCCATGGATTTACATGTATTCCCCATCCCAGTCCCCCCTCCCACCTCCCTCTATGGCAGAGACTTCTTATTGTCCCCGTTTTTTCTACATTCATAAGTGCTCCTTCCAACTTCAAGCAGGGCTCATGGCTGCCTACATTGAAAAAAAAAACAAACCTTCATTTCCTAGCCCACTTTTGAAGTAGGTGTTGCCATATGATTAAAGTCTGGCCAAAGGGAAGTAAGAGGAAGTGATGTGTGTAACAGTCTGGAATGGGTTTATTAAAGAGAGGGCCTCTGACCTTTTTACCTCCTTCTTCCATTCTGCTATTTGTAATATGGATGTGTTGGTTGAAGTACCATCTTGGATCATGGGACCCAGGGCTACATTCCAGGGCTGGTGGAGCAGAAGGTTAGAAGTAGCCTCGGTTCCAGAAAAGGGCAGACATCATTCCAGCCTTCTGAGCCTTAATTTTAGATCCTGATATTCTTAAGATACTCTATCTTGCTTAAGCATCTAAATAATATAGTTTGTAGGAGATATAATAAACAAATGGAGTAAGTTATAACACTCTATTGAAAGACATAAAGAAAGATCTAAATAAATGGAAAGCTATATTAGCTTATGTCTGGAAATTTAGAATATTCTAAGAAATTCAGTTGTCTCCAAATTAATCTGTAAATTCAATGTATTTTCAATAAAAATCCTGACGCTCTCTCTTGTAGAATGTAATAAGTGGACTCTCAAATTCATATGCAAGAGTAAATGTCCAAGAGTAATCAAGACAATTTTTAAGAATAAAAGGAGGGAGAGCTTTAAAGCATAGACTTAGCATCTAAAACTTAAAACAGAAAGATGAGGTGTGAAGAGACTTCAACTATACTTATAACAATTAAGGATAAAAAAATTTATAGCAAGTTTGGCAACATTGACATTCATTGTCTCTGTGTAGTGGGTACATAGGTGTTTGTTTCTCTGACTTTAGTTTTGAAATAGTTCATAATAAAAAATAATTAAGAATAAAATACCTGATAGGAGAAAATTACAGAAGAGAAAGAAGAAATGCCATGTGTCTCACTTGGAGGATTAATTTTTGGCTTATTTCCTCAGTCTTTTGCTATGTCTTGCATCTCCTATAAGAGGCAGAGGAATAAGGGGAAAGAGCATGGTTTTCGGAGACAAACAGGAAAACTGGATTTATATCCCAATTCCTCCCACTTTCTATATGACTCAGGCAAGTCACTAAACTTCTTAGTCCCATATTTCTTACCTGGATAATGGCATAAAAATACTCACTGCAGATGACTGTTCTGAGGTCATCTAAGGTCAAGGTTATCTTTATCTATAATGACTACCCTTGATACACTGACAAGGCTTCTCTGTATATATTTGCAAGACTATAAAATAACCCAAAAGCCATGGAGGAGAAACCAAGAAATCCAAAGCTTTTCAGATAGTTTTGCCTTAGTTCTATGACAAACAACTACAATATTGTATAGGCATGTTTTCTTTGTATTTTGGTAAATAATGCTTTGCCTACATTTATGGAATCTTGCAAAATTTCCTTCAAGCTATTCCAAAAATGTTTGTGGTATTATTTTAATTCTGATCCCTTAAGTGTATGATCAGGTGGTGGTCTTTGTGTATAGTATGTGGTCTTACAGTGGATAGAAGAATGAGAGACCTTAAGTTTTAGTTTGGTTTTGCCATGGACTTCAAGGTCACCCATGTAAGAAATGTTAGAATTGTTAGTAAATTAATGCTCATAAAACTCTTCAAGATTGGGAGAAAAGTGCCAGTCTGGTCTGGAGATTATTACTTTTTATGATATCATCACTGTCATCATCACCACCTAGTTTAAGTCAGTGATGAGCAGTGACTTTTAAAGGAAAAGTTGAATATACTTTTACACAATTTTATTTGATGAATGTTTCCAAATGCTTCATTTCTAAACACTTCTTCCTGCTTCTTTCCTCTCTTTCCCCTGCTAGGAAAGACACCAATGCCCAGACCTGGCTACAAGCCTCAGGAGCCCAATGGCTGCAGCTCCTATTTCCTGGGTCTCAAGGTACCAGAAAGAGTATGTACACCACCATTGTTTTCTTAGTTGACTGGTTTTGACTAAGACTAATCTAAGAGGTCTCTCTGATGGAACTCATCACTTATGGAATATGGTTGAGCAATATAATTAGTATTTTAAACTGGATACAGAGAAAAGGAGATAATTTTCAAAGAAGGCATCTGATTTCCTTTTCTCAGATGCAGCTGTCCCTCAGATTAGCCATTGGGTAGTGAACTTTGAAGTCACCAGTGCAAACATCAGTTGAGCCTTAGCAAACCAAGCATAACTTAATTTGGAATAGATCGGACAAGTGTGACTTCTTCAAATTGGTGAGACTTTCTAGAGATGTACTGGAGCAAGCTGGTATTGACCAGTGAGGGCTGATTGCTGTATCCTCAGGACTTTTGCAAGTGGCCGACTTCATGTCTGAACTGTTAAATCAATCATGTTTGGAGTATTAGCATCATAGAAATCTGTAAACACACACACACACACACATATCGTCCCCTGCCAACCAGCTGCTGGCTAAAACATTTTTCACTTTGCCACTGACTATTTCTCAAACTATCAGCTTCCTCTAAAAACAAGTAATAATTAATTTTTTAAAGACCCCTCAGAAACCCTTTTACCTTTTTCACTTTAGAAAAGAAACTTCATGTAAAAATTGGTAGAAGGATTTCATGTCTTGTTTTGGATTCTAAGCTAGTCCTACTCCTGTATGTTCTTGCCTCCAGTGTCCACAGCTATCAGAACTAGTGTGTTTTCTTTTGTGGGAGCTCTCAATGACCTTTTACATATTCCATAGGCACAGAATCTGCCTGGTTGATTGTGTGGATTTAATCTGCAGCTCGTACAGCTGGTGGGAAGGTTTTGGGTCTTCTTCCTTAGCCACACTGCCCCTGGATTTCAACTGTGGTTTATTTTTACACCTCGGGATATGGGTCACCCACTGGGGTTTGCTCCTGAGGCTGCCCTGAAGGACTTGGGTTTGCCCCTCTGAGGGCCAGGTGTGGAGGTGGTGTAGCTGCTTGGGTTGTGGGGGTTCTGGCAGCTCCAGGTACTCAGGGGAGTTGGCGGCTAGAGGAGCAGGAAACATAGTGCTCTAGAAGGGTATGGCAACCAGTATTGGCCCATATGCACCAGTATTCTTGCCTGGAGAACCCCCCTCCCTGACAGAGAAGCCTGGCAGGCCACAGTCTGCAGAGTTGCAAAGTCAGACACTACCAAAGTGACCCTGTGCACATAGATGCAAGACTCTTTTTGCCTGTGGCAGCTCTGCCCCAGTGAGAGTTGAGGGTGAATGTGGCGCAGCTGCTTGGCTTGAGGGGACCTTGGTGATGCCAAGTGTGCAGGGACACGGACTGCCTCCGCTGCAGGAGTTATGGCCCCATCAGTCTTTTCTTTTTTTGACTTTCTTTTTTTTTCTCCCCCAATTATTTTTATTAGTTGGAGGCTAATTACTTTACAATATTGTAGTGGTTTTTGCCATACATTGACATGAATCAGCCATGGATTTACATGTGTTCCCCATCCTGAAGCCCCCTCCTACCTCCCTCCCCATCCCATCCCTCTGGGTCATCCCTCTTGTTGCTGGTGATCAGAAGGCCTCTTTGGCCAGTCTTTCTCCATAGCTCTGCCCATTCAGGGACTTAGAGGGCTCCCTTGCCTGGGGTCTTTCTCTGTCCTTCGGTGCATCAGGCAGATAGAGGGACCCCCCTGGCTGGGGCCCTACTCTGTCTTTCAGTGCCTCAGGTGTTTGATGGGGGCCCTACTCTGTCTTTCAGTGCCTCAGGTGTTTGATGGGCCAGCCTCTATTGTTCAGCTACCAATGCTGGTGGGTGGGGAAAGAGAGGCTATGGTGATGGCTCCACCCCCTGCACATGACTCAGCACTATCGCCTTGCTTCCGTGGCTGCCTGGCTTTCCTCCACAGGCATTTCCCACCACAGGCTCCTTCCTCACATCCATACCTCCCTCCTGCCCCCATCTTTCTCTCTGCAGTCAACAGCAGCCCTTGCCCTGGGATTGCTCCACAATCCCTAAACTCCAGCTCCCAGCTGCTACACCTTCCAGGGGACCAGCGTCCCTGTCCGGGGTATGTATGGCTGCAGCAAGGACTGTCTGATTCTCATCCCCTTTAGGCTGCCACAGATCAGCTGTTTCACTCTCAGCCTTAAACGTTTTTCCTATGACTCAGACAATTGCCCTGATGTGGGGATCGGATCCCTGCTTCAGTTCCCCCATTGGCCAAGGGCCTACTAACACTCCTGTTTTTCCCCCTAGTTCCTTTGTCCTACAGAGTTTTGCATGGTTCTATATATTCTTTTCTCCTGGTCAGGTACTCCTGTCAGCTCTCAGCTGGTGTTATGCATGCATCTCTGTGTCTAAAGGTGTATTCCTGATGTAATCGTGGAGAGAGATGTACTCCATGTCCACCTACTCCTTCACCATCTTGTTCTCCTCTGATTATTTCTCTTTAATCACTTATTGTACCATGTCCCTTTCCTCTTCAAGTGCATGCAAGCTAAGTTGCTTCAGTCATGTCTGATTCTTTGTGACACTATGGACTGTAGCCCACCAGACTTCTCTGTTCATGGGATTCTCCAGGCAAGAATACATGAATGGGTTGCCATGACTTCTTGCAGGTCATGAATACATGAATGGGATCTTCCCAACCCAGGGATGGAACCTACATCTCTTATGTCTCTGGCATTGACAGGCAGGTTCTTTACCAATATGCCACCTGGGAAGCCCAATCAAATCTAACTTGTTACTTTGGAAGTCAAGGCCATCTATCAACTTGTCTTTCTCCCTAATTAAAAAGTACATATAATAAAAAACATATATCACACTGATAAGACCCTTGAATGACTAAACAAACAGGTTGACTTGCTTATATATGATTTGCTTATCACTTCCTTTTTTTACTTGTTACATCTTAAATATATCTTCATCTAATAATCCTCTACAAAAATTCCCATTTGATATCTCTGTGTGTGGAAGTCTATGAACTTAGTTTATGACAGTTATAATTGTTTATAGGATACTTTATAAATGTGTATGTGTATATATATGTTAGAAGTTGTTTGATTGTAGTCCCCTTGTGGTCAGGAACTATGTTCTATACCCTACTCTGTTCCCCAACACATTACAAACAGATACACACACTTAAAACAGTGCTGCATGGAATGGGTCCCTGCAAAATCCTGGTGACCTCTTTGTGAACTAAGGCTTAATTTTTCATACTTCTGAGCCTTGGAATCTTTGGTTTAAAAAAAAATCTCACAAAGTAAAGGTTTTAGTTGAATTTGAAAGTATGGAAGCTCTGCCCTCTTGCGTAACATTCTGATTTTCTATTTTTAGCTCCATAGTGGCCTGTGAATTTGAAAACTACTAAAATCTAAAAGAAAAAGTAGTAAAGGGGGCCATTTAAAGTTATTAAACTAATGGCTAGATCATGATCAAAACTTAGCATCCTGTGACTGTCAACTTGATCTATTCTTTCCTGTCATCTGGTGCTTCTGAACTGATCTGAATCTGTAACAGGAATTTGAGAACAAGGTAGGCAAGGTTGCTTAAGGTCCTTGGTCTAAACGTGGCATTTTCTTCCTTCACTTTTCTCCAGATGGACTTGGGCATTCCAGCAATGACCAAGTGCTGCAACCAGCTGGACGTCTGTTACGACACTTGTGGTGCCAACAAGTATCGCTGTGATGCAAAATTCCGATGGTGTCTCCACTCTATCTGCTCTGACCTTAAACGGAGTTTGGGCTTTGTCTCCAATGTGGTAGGTAGGTATCTTAAGTGCATTGACCTGTGAGCAGAGAGGCTGGTACCTGTTTTCACACAGAAATGTAACCCCCTTTACTCAAAGAGACCATCAGAGTTCACTGATCTTTCTTTATAGAACTCTGTGACCAGTGAAGCAAGGGGGAAGGGAGACTCTGGGCAATTCTTCATGAAAGTTCTTGCTGTCCTGCCCAGGAGCTGCTGGCGCCACTCCTGATGGACAGGGCCACACCAAGGCCTTCCCAGAGGATAAAAATCTATCCTCTAAGACCAGAGCAAGAGTTGCCCAACTGGTTTTCATTATCCATTCCACTGTTAAATAATTTTCCATATCAGGAATTATTCTGTATAGGTCTATGGGGTTGGGTTGAAGCTTTCTTTTTTTTCTCCTTATTTTGTTCTCAGTAAGAGAAAGAATTTTTGAAAACCTATCTTCTTTTTGTGTAAAGTTATCTATATCCTCGAGGATAATTATTTTAAAATGACTGCTTAGCTGCCTAACTTCTAGCAGTGATTCTATAATTTCTTTTTCCTAACTTATCTTAGGAAAATTGTAATTCTTGAGTTTCTGAAGCCCGAACAATATATCCAAGTATTAGTGTTGCATACTTTTAGATGGTAAAGTTTGAAATTCAGGCTTATGAAGAGCTGGCTTTATGCTACTGGGAAAGTCAGCCACAGGGAGAATCTTGGATCCTGTTATAGGTCAATGTCTAGAGTGTTGTTCTAAAGTGAATGTGCATAGACTTGAAAATGTGAATAATTTGTGGGTCTGTGTATGTGCCTCTCTTTTTTTTTTTTTTTTTCCTATCTTCTATCTGTACCTATAAAAGGTGAAAAATGCCTGCTGCTAATCTAGGGTCAGGTCAAGTTACTCCTCACAATAAATTTTAGAACAATTTTATCACTCCACAAAGAAATCTCAGAGCCATTAGCAGTCTCACCACAATGTTCCCCTGTCTAGTTCTAGGCAACCATTAGTCTTCTGTCTCTATAAATTTGCTATTCTGGACAATTCATATAAATGGAATTATAGATATGTGGTCTTCTGTGACTGGATTCTTTCATTTAGTAAGGTATATCCATATTGTAGTGTGCATCAGTATTTCATTCCTTTTTAATTGCTGAATAATATTCCATTATATGGATAAATAAAGACCCAATAGGGTCTATAATAAAATAGATAGATAATAACAGGTGTTGGCAAGGCTCCAATTTCTCCACATCTTTGCCAACACCTGTTATTATCTATCTATTTTATTATAGACCCTATTGGGTTTGAAGTTATATCTCATTGTGGTTTTGATTTACATTTCCCTGTGGGCTAATGATGTCGAGCATCTTTTCATGTGCTTATTAGCCATTAAATAATTGCTTTGGAGAAATGTCTATTCATTTGCCACCCTTAAAATTGGGCTCTCTTTTTATTATTGAGTCATAGACATTTCATATATTTTGGATGTAAATCTTTTAAGAGATAAATGACTTGCAAACGCTTTCTCTCATTTTATGGGTTGATTTTTCACTTTCTTGATGATATAATTTGTAGTCCAGAAGTTTTACATTTTGCTTAAGTCCATTTTTATCTTTTGAATTTCTTATACTTTTGATGTCATATGTAAAAGGGCTTTGCCAAACTCAAAGTCACTATGTTTTCTTCTAAAAGTTTTGTTTTAGCTCATATATTTAAATCTATGATCCATTTTAGTTAATTTTTCTGTATGGTGTAAGAAAGAGATTCAGCTTCATTCTTTTGTATATGGATATACATCATTTGTTAAATAAAAGACTATTCTTTCCCACCACTTGTTCCTGCACCATTTGTTGAAAGAGACTATTCTTTTCCACATTAAATTGTTTTTGCACCCTTGTGAAAAAAATCAATTTGTCATAAATGCAGTGTTTATTTCGAGACTTTCAATTCAATTCTATTGATCTATACCAGTACCACACTGTTTTTATTACTTTAATTTTGTAGTAAAATCTGAAATCAAGAAGTGTCCTTCAACTTTGTTCTTTTTCAAGATTTTTTCAGATATTCTGTATCTCTTTCATTTCCACATGAATTTTAGGTTCAATTTGTCAATTTCTTCAAGAAATGACAGGTGAAATTTTGATAAGACTTTTGTTGGCTCTGTAGATCCAATTGAGGAATACTGTCGTCTTAAAATTATGTTTTCTGACCACTGAACATGGATTTATTTCCACTTATTTGGGTCTATTTTAATTTTTTTAAAGTTTTTATTTTATATTGGAGTATTTTTGATTAAAAATGTGCTAGTTTCAAGTGTACAACAAAGTGATTCAGTTATACCTATACATTTATCTTTCTTTTCAAATTATTTTCCCAATCAGGTTGTTACAAAATATTGAGCAGAGTTCACTGTTGGTAGGTCCTTGTTGGTTATCCATTTTAAATATGGCAGTGTGTACATGTCAACCCCAAACTCCTTAACTATCCCTCCTAGCAGTTCTATTAATAAGAGGAAAGTTCATAGCAATAAATGTCAACATCAAGAAATAAGATCTCACATCAACCACCTAACTTGACACCCCAAAGAACCAATAAAAGAAAAGCAAATTAAGTCCAAAGATTGTAGAAGGAAGGAAGATCAGAGTGGAAACAAATGAAATGAAGACTAAAAGTACAACAGAAAAGATCAATTAAATTAGGAGATTTTTTTTTAAAAGACAAACAAAATAGACAAAACTTTAGCTACATTTGCCAAGAATAAAAAAAAGGGGGTGAAAATAAAATCAGAAATAAGAGAGAAAACATTGTAACTAATATCACAGAAATATAAAGGACCATAAGAGTCTACTATGAAAAATTATACACTAACAAGTTAGACAGCCTAGAAGAAACAGATGGATTCCTCAAAACAAACAACCTATCAAGAATGAATCATGAGGAAATAGAAAAATTTGAACAGAACTGTTACTAGTAAGGAAACTGAATCAGTAATCAAAAATCTCCCAACAAACAAAAAATTTAGGATCAGATGGTTTCACTTTTTTTCTAAAAGGTGGAAAATTTCTATATATGTTAATTTAATTAGAGATAAATTTTACATGAAGTTAACAAAAACATTGAATTTCAAAAAAATTATTAATAAGCATTATTTCTTAAGAGAAGTCATTGAAATTTACAAAAAATACTAAAAGACATGAAAAAACTTGCATCATTATTTTGAAATTGATGCTTCAAATTTAGCCAAGAACATTATTCTCTACCATTTCCTCTCTCATCTCTGATTTCTGTTGTTATAAATGTTCCATGTCATACAGAAAGTGTCTAACCCAAAAGATCTGGGCTATTAAAACTCTGCACATTCCCAAGAAATGGCTATTTTCTAGCCATGCTAGCTGATGACTAGCCCTTCATCAGCTCTGGGGAAGTGAACTCTTGGAAAATTCTGACTGATGAAATGTTTTGGATGCCTGAGATCTTGAGCCAAACTATACCAGTTGGTCTAGATGGCTTATACAATCAGTGTATTTTATGGTGAATACCTGCTTTCCTTCTAGGGGTCTGGGAGTACCAGTGACTGTACAGTACTGGGAGTACTGTACAGAGTACAGTACCAGTACCAGTGAAATCAGTCACATAAGCATCATATGCCTATGTAACTGACGCCCAATAAAATCCCTGGACTCTAGATTCAGGTGAGGTTCCTGGTTGGTAACCAGACAGCTTCACTTTTAAAGTGGCTTCAACATTCAAAGAAAAATTAATCGGCTATTTAAGCAGCTTCAACATTTAAAGAAGAGTTAATAACAATCCTCTCCTCTGTCTATGGGATACTCCAGGCAAGAATACTAGAGTGGTAGCCATTCCCTTCTCCAGGGAATCTTTCCAACCCAAGGATTGAACCTGGGTCTCTCTCATTGCAGGCAGATTCTTTACCATCTGAGCGACCAGGGAAGCCCTCTCAGTCTTTCAAAAAGTTGAAGACAGGACTTCCCTGGTGGTTCAGTGGTTAAGACTCTGTGCTCCCAATACAGGGAGCCCAGGTTTGATCCCTGGTCAGGAAACTAGATTCCACATCTCCAACTAAGAGCCCATAAGCTGCAACTAAAGATCCTGCATGTGGCAGTGAAGACTCTGCAAGCTGCGACTAAGACTGGGCAGTCAAACTGGAAAAAAAAAAAAGACTGAAGAGGAGGGAAAACTTCCAAACAAGTCTTATGAGGCCAGGCTTACCTATACCAAAGCCAGATAAGAACACCACACACACACACAAATTTACAGGCCAATATCCCTGATGAATACAGATGCACAAAACTTTCACAGAATATTAGTAACCTAGTTATTTATCCCACACTTGAATAGGGAAAGCTATAGGAAACATAGCAGTGTTATTTGAGTCTTCTGGGAAAAAAAATGTAATTTTCCATGGAGTGAGCATAGTGATGTGGGAGATTCTGATTGCTAGTCATGGTTTTGACCTGGAGGCCCCATAAAAGGAGGGCATCTCAAAGTGTGTTCTGCTTTATTAGATTGGATAGAAGCTTCTCTGAAAAAGCTTTTCATAAATCTTTTTTTTTTCCCTTTTAATTCTGTATTTGGGTCACTGCTTCTAACTTTCCTCTGGGTATCATGTTATCCTTGGAAATATATTGCCTCTTCAAAATTACTCAAACTACTACTTGGGGTAGTCTTGTATAGTAACCCTTCTATTTCTCTTAATCTTTTTCAAGTAGCCTGTGATTCCCTGGCTGATACTGTGTTCAACACTGTATGGACTTTGGGCTGCCGGCCCTTTATGAACAGTCAGCGGGCAGCTTGCATCTGTGCAGAAGAGGAGAAAGAAGAGTTGTGAGAAAGAGGCGATCCCTTCCCTGTTTTGAGTGACACCACTCAAAGCTGTCAGTCTGGGAGACGGTAGTATGGTGGATGTACCTCATCCTTTTCCCCAAAAGTTTGGATACCACAGAGCACAGAAAGGAACACTTATTTTCCAGCTGAAAGTGAGTCCTGACCTTTGAAAAGGAGGATTGGAAAAAAGACACAGAGTGATTTGAAAACTACTCTTCACTTTAACCCAACCAAGACATATTTGCCTGGAATTTCAGTGCTTACTTTGAAGACTAAAATAAAGACTAAAATACTGGAATTCTTGGAATTGATAATTATATTAATAAGTGAAATTTTGGAGAGTCCAACCATTTGAGAGGCAATGACTTTCCTCTGGTCCATGTTTCAGTCGCTAATAAGCACCTCACATATCATAAAGTATAGTTTTTAGAAAATCTGAAAAGAGATGAATGAATTCCACTATCATCAATGTGCTTCCATTTCATTTAGAAGAGAACAGAACCCAACGTGGTAAGTTCCTCCAAAGACAACCACTGGTGCTGAAGAGTTAAGAACAAGACAAGGTCAGAGACTTACTTGATTAAAGCCTGTGGAGGTGCAGGTCAGACAGAGTGAGGTCTCTGGGGTTCCATTTTTTTCCTTCATTGAACGGCTGCTGCTGCTGCTAGGTCATGTCAGTCATGTCCGACTCTGTGTGACCCCACAGACAGCAGCCCACCAGGCTCCTCCGTCCCTGGGATTCTCCAGGCAAGAACACTGGAGTGGGTTGCCATTTCCTTCTCCAGTGCATGAAAGTGAAAAGTGAAAGTGAAGTCGCTCAGTCGTGTCCCACTCTTAGCGACCCATGGACTGTGTAGCCTACCAGGCTCCTCTGTCCATGGGATTCTCCAGGCAAGAGTACTGGAGTGGGGTGCCATTGCCTACTCTGTTCATTGAACTAGTCCTATTGAA